AGTCGTTTCAAATACTTGATCTCAAATTCCAATATCCTCAACTACATTGTGGTTACTAAATTGTGTCTCTGTTATGTCCAAAGTGGCAGTGTTTACTTTTCGGCTTCCTGGTAATGTATGCATGACGTCATGTGCATAGGGTCTATTAGACCTAAAAACACAGTACACTACAAAATCTAAAGTTCAATCAAAGACTGATAAAAAAAAATAGAAAAGTTAAACTGTATTACTTGAAAAAGTTCTGGGTAATAACTTGGTGGAAGATGTAATGCATTATAGTACTTAGCTTTCATCATTTTTTTTAATGTACCACTTGATTTGCATAGTATTTCAGGAGTGATGTTCTTTTAAAGTTGTGTACAGTCTTTATCTTTTGTTTGGCTCATTACATAAATTTACTGAACAAAATTTTGTTTGAAAAACTTAAACAGTAGTTAAAAGATGATATAAATGACGGAACATTTTGCCAACTGAAAAGCAATGTCAGAAATAGTGCTATATCTATTTCAGCTAAACTGAAAAGTTATTTTATTTTTGCTTACATTTACAAAGTTGAAATTACTTCATAAAATCATATCTCATATTCAAATTACATGACTTCTTTATTTAAACTTTCATGGAAATTTTCACATTAAGCATTATGTGTTGCAAAATACCCATTCATACCAAGTTTGAAAATAATTACAGTAATACGTATTTTATATATAAATACGTATACTTTGTTTTGCTTCAAAATCAATGAGTAAACAATTTTCCTATCATTTATCAATACTTAGGTTCTTCATTGTTTTTACCATTTTTATTTAAACTTTGCCATGTTTTTAATATAACTATGAAACAGAAAAAACTTTAAAACTTAATCCATTAAACAGAATAAAAAAATACTTCTTATACAGTGTAATCATATCATGATAACTCTTAAACCTAGGAATAAGTTAATATCCTCATAATAAAGTAGCAGTGACCACCACAAAAGTGCATTGTTAATTCAAGTCATCACAAAGTTATTTTCTGTTCAAACGTATTTTGGAATTAGTATTATAATAAATTTGTACTAGTATAGTCAATGAAAAATTAACGTTTTTTCTTATGTAGAATGAACTATGTTAATTAAAAATTGAGAGTGCAATTCTAGTTGCAATTGAATAGGACATTTCTAGGTTTTACTTCTTCTCTGAAACTGATTTGTTCTGAAAAAAATCTTTTTTTTAATGTTAAGCTACCCAAATGGTACTGAAACATGGGTTTTAGCATTATAAACCCTCAGACTTACCACTGCAAAACTAGGGGACAAATAAACACCTTAGAATCTTGTGGCATGTTTTATTAAGGTTGTAGTGAGGATATTTGCAAGACGTACATCGAGTTTCTACAAGGTGCTTATATTTGACTTCTTTTAAAAATACTAGATTTGGAATACTACTGTTTACAGACACAATTCATGTGATCAGAGAATAATAGTCATAATTGTTTTCCCTCAGACTTACCACAAGGACACGATCAAGGAGAAAGTACTGACTCGGGCAGAACATTACTGATCACTGTGAACTTGACTTTTTTTAATGCTAGACCATAATATTACCAAATGTAACCACACAGATATTACTCTGTGGTCTAAAGCTAATAGAAATTTCTTTTCATAAGAATTTAAAACAGTAAAGCATATCATATTTTACAAATTCTACACCCTTTCAGACCAAAACTGTAAACCAAAGAACTAGATAACTTGTCCACCCTGGGTACTGTCACAGTAGTATCTTAGAAATTTTCATTTTATAATGTCATCTTTTTAAATATGGATGCCAAATTTACTGTATTGTCACTGTATATAAACTAAAGACAGTCGTAATTCAAGTATTTAAAATAAAAGAACATCTTTAGAATTATCAACTGCATTTGAAACATGGAATGCAAATTTTGAATTACTTTGTTTTTCGTATATATGTTTTCTTATTAACGAGCATTGATTACACGTATTAAATTAATCCTCTGAAATAGTTAAAAAATATAAGAATTGTGTTAGTTACTTGATTTTAAATAGAACAACAACAAAAAAACACAATACACAAGTTATTCTGGAACATGACTTCTAATCTGGAAACCTCTATAAAATTTATATAATACAAGAGAGTGGAATATTGGACTATTCAAATATTACTAACTTCCTAAATATATATTAAAAAAACAAATACTTCATTTTGAATTGATAATTTGTGATGTTTAAAGTAATTTTATATGATTGAACAAGAATGCACTGAAAGTGACCATTATATCCAAGAATACATGCATGCACAATTACTGCTAATTCTTTGCAACTTGGGTTAGTGAATGTAATCAGAACATATTTAATAGGCACTTTTCATAATACATAGGAAACCAATAGTGTCATTTGGAGTTGTAATGATGCACAAACACAAAACAAGATTTTTAGTTTGGTTTTCAAATTTTATTTTCATACAGTCACTAAATCATTCTCTAAAACATGTACATTTTGCTTCATACTTAATTATTTTCATTATATTTTTTCAATCAACTTTTATTATTTTATTTGCTAAACGTGGTTGTGTGCTGCTGGCAATTCTTTTTTTTTTCTTCAAGAGGTTTTTATAATACACCTACCACCCCAAGTTTCTGTGCTTTTATTTTTCAAATAATTGATACATCTTAAAAAACCTCACCATTCTAGTCTTTGTTAGTTTTTTTATAGCTGCTCTTTCCCCTTTAAAACTATTTGTTACATCTGCATATGCAACAGATGCCAAAGAGGGAAATTATTCAGCTTGAAATTTTTAACTAAAACATTTACATAATCATATTTAAAGAAAAATTATGGCAATGGCACTTACAATTTGACGATATTAGTACAAATAATAATAGCAAAGCAGAAAACCAAAACACATTCAAATAAGTATTTGAGGTACTTGAGACCAGGGATTCTCAAACTGGGGGCTGTAATAATTATATAGTTTCAAGAGGGTCACAGCACTTACAAAATACTCCCTCACAAATTATTCTAACATTTCAAAACTGCCCATGTTAATAGTAAGTTCTATTATAAAAGTAAATAGGGATGATTTTAAGGAGAAAAAAATAGGCAACATACATGAAAGTAAGTTACATTTTTTAGATCAATTAGGTGGATATTATCAGTCAGAATGTCAAGTGTCCTGAGCCAAGAAAGTTTGGGAATCCCTGCTTTAGATTAACTTCATTCACATGGTTCTATATACCATCAATTACTTTGAATGCAGAAATAAAAAATAGATTGGGTTCTTTGTTCAGTTACCTTCAAATGCAGTAAGTAATAATAATAATAAAAAATAAAAGGCAACTTTTTTTTTCAAAAAATAAGTCTTGAGTAACACTGACTTATTTAAAATCTAAACAATCTTTCAATTTTTAGAAATTGGAAAGTCACTGTTGATTTGTGGAACTTCAAATTCTAAATCTTCCATTTTTTTTTTATTTCTGAGGATTAGCTGTTTGCTAACCATCACAACAAATGTCTCTAGTGTTAGTCAGTCCCTGTAGCATGTACTGAAGAGATAGAAGAAAAGCCCAAGGTGTTATAGTCAGGAAGGCCTGCAGGAGGAGACAGAGTTGTTATGGAAACAGGAGAGAAAGAACTCACATCAACCACAGAAGAAACAGAGGACTTAGGATAACCTGCTAAGAGAAGAAAGAATGTAACATACAAACACAATAGAAACTCAAGGCAAACTTTTCTTATACGTTACATCAAATTGGTCTGCTTCGGTGACTTTCTACTAAAATTAATACCTGTAATATCAAGTCAGATAATATTAGAGTTGTTCTTTTTATGAAGCCAAGTAATATGTGTGTTCACTATGAAAGTACTCATCAGATAAAGTTAAAGAACCTTCAGTATCACACAAAGTTAAACTATTTAAATCTATCTCCTATCACAGTAGTGATCACACGTGTATCAGATGAATTTGACCATTTACTAGGAAGTGTCTAGTTTGTGGCTCACTGAATTTTATAATAATTCAAATTCAACACTTACTATGAATGTATGAGTAACGTAAATATCTGCTTGATATGGAAACATAATTAAAGAACTTCAAGATTATGAATTGATGCATTTAATGTTATCAAACAACTACATTAGAATTTATATTTTCCAAGGTATACAATTTCTGCAAAGTGTAAAGTTAGGAATTCATATATATTTTTAAAACCACATCCTAACTGAGCTAGCAGTGACATCTACTTACACAAAATAGATGACTGACCAAAGATTGAATTTTTCAGAAGACATTTATAATATAGGCATGTAATTTAATATTAACTACCATGATTTCACGTTCAAAGTACATTAAGCCTTTTAACTTCAAGTTGAAATTACTTGTACAAACAATTATACCTTGCAGGAAGAATTATTTTTACTATGAAACTTCATGAAAACGATCTAATTGTTTAAATCAACCAGTTACAATAAATGATACAAACTTACTGAAATGGCTGTTAGTGAGTTAAACTAAAAGAGTGGAATTGTACAGCATTAAATTCATTTTACAAACTGATGATTTTATATTAAACTCTCAAAAGAATATGAATATCAGCATTAACTACACAAAGTAAGTTTTGAGGTCTCTTGCTGAAAGTATTGCATGTAACAATACAAAAAAGTTGTACTACTATAACCAGAAAGAAAAAAAACTTTTCATTATCTACTGGACTCGTTATTTCTCTTGAAACGTTTAGGTGATGTTCTAGAACTTAGTACTGAGGATTTTAATTTGTGAAATACATTTTTTTTCATGTATCCCTATCTTGTGTTAGGCTGGAGATTTATTATAAGTTTAATATGGACGTCGATGAGTAGAGAACCATTTTGCAAATACTTTTTAGTTGAAGAGAATAGAAAAAAAATCACTATATTTAACTTTTTTCCCATAATAAATACTTTAATAACAGAATGATAGTTTAAAACCACAGATCATCTTTACAAAATTCAAATCCCACATCTGAAGCAGATATAAAATCGTTCTGTGTTGCATCAAATTTTTTTTTATAAGCCCTGCAAACAGTGGCAACAATAAGATATAATATGAAGGGAAGTGATCAGTGAAGAAGTTCAAACAAAATGTATTTGTCTCTAATACAGTAAGGGGTTTGCATGTTGTGCAGCAGACTCCAATACTATCAAGCAAAATATAAACAAAATTTACAGATGTTGTGGTGCAGCCATTCCTTGCGATGTTGAAATTGCTCCTCCAATAACTGTTGTATTGGTTTCTTGATAATCTAGAAAATAAGGAATTCTAAAGTGGAAAATTAAATCAAATAATTTAAAAGGAAAATGCAAAAGACAGTTAATTTTGCATAAGACAGAAAGCTGTAAAACTACTTTTTTTTTGTTGTTGTTACTATACTTTTCATTGTTCCTGATGCTGGGACTATTTGGTGCATAGTAATTCCTTTAAAAGTTTCATCTATGAGCTCATCTTGGGATTCCTTTTAGTTTTAATAAACTAAATATACTGATATAGAATGGAAAATATTATGTAATTCACCACGTTTTATCAACTTGGCATGTCTAGAATGTTTTTTGTTTGCATCTCGTACCATGCTCAAGTAATTCTAGAAAACCTATTATGCCAAAATATGAAAACAAATTAAAATAAGAATACACAATAAATCATACGTTATACAAATTAATTTTCACAATAAAATCCAATAATAATTCAAACTAGTTAAGAATAATATAAGGTCTTATTACTATTTCCTTCTCAAAGGAAAGAAACTCTTAAAAATTGTTACTAACGTTTTCATTAATCTAATGAAAAATAAAAGGAAAATAATTTTTGTGCATGCGTGTGTTAGATACGATGCTTTATACTAAAAGTGTTGCATTATGGTCCTACTAATGCACTAAAATTTAAATAACTTTTCTATACTGTATCTAAATATACATCACAGTCATTCACTACCAACATAGCAGAAAATTACTGGGCAAGTGCATAACAGACTCAAAACCGTGAGAGTAGAAAAGGATGCTGATGAAAAATGTCCAATTTTTTTTAGATAAGTTTTTATGAAATTATTTGCAAAGTATTTAGTATAGCACTAAAAACAAAATTTACAAAATTACATTTTTGTGACAAAAGTTTAAAACAAATTACATGATGGATATAAAACAAGGCTTTGCAATATATACGATAGACAAACACAAGTTACTGAGGTTGACACTTCTCGATCACATTTTTAAATTTATTTTTTAATAGAATTTAAAATAAGTCAAAAGGTAATGTAAATAAAAAGTCTTAACTTCCATTGATGTTCATGAAATTGATTCACTGACTTAATTACTAAAAGACAATTCTGACTCGTACAAGGCTTTCAGATTCACCACAGATATAAAGTTAAAAGGAAGTCAAGCAACCAAACACAGGAAATTGTCCTCAATGTTCATTTAGGTTAAGTCTGGAAATGTGATTAGCATTCTAGTGTCTAAATAGAACCTTACACTTAGCATGATTTAATGCCTAGTAATTACTACCAAAACACATTTCTGATATGTATGTACACATACACATATGCAGTCCAAGAATTGTTACTGAAACAGTGTTTGTTTCTAATTTCTGTTAACTTAGTACATAAAATATTTTTAAATTACTCATAATTACTCCAATATTTACTGAAAAAGTATTCCTATCTGCTTTATACAAAGATCTCAAACAGAATAATGCACTCACGAATGTAAAAATTCAACCATTAGCACAAGTATCTCAAGTAACAATTTCTCTTGTGAGGTATTTTACTGATAGATCACATCCTCAAACAAACAAACAAATAATTATAAAATCTCATAGCATATCTGAATAACAGATTTCACTTTTGAAAGAAGCAAATAAAAATAAAAAATTATCTTAACTCCTTAAAATGATAAAGTTGAAATAATTTTTTTTATTGAAAATAAAACTTAAGAAACTGTGATACCAAGGAGATCCCAGCATTTTTGTTTTTATTCAGGTGTTTGTTATGCTAAACATAACTGAATCCCAGTCATAAGTTAAAAATAGAAACTATAAAAGAAATATTATAAACAAAGAAATTATTGTACAGAATTCAATGATAATGCTACACAATTATCAATTACAAGAAGATGTTCAGTTCAAAATCTTCTTTCACAAATACTGTGTTTTTGAAACAGTCACAAATACCAACATACTAGTCGGAAATCACAACTTTTTTCTAGAAGAAACTAAATTACGACATTCCTAGAATAATTAGGACATTCAAAACTACAACATTATACTTGCTTTGTTATATGGCAAATAATAAAGATTTACCTAATCCTGCTGGTTTCCCGGCCACAGAGGTGACAATGCCCGACAAAGCATCAGGAGGCAGGGTGGCACTAACTGTGATAGGAGGCATGCCTGGCAGATTAATAGGAGTAGTGAATGGAAGTCCACCTATGACTGCAGGTGAAACATTAACTGCAGCTATGGAAAAATGAATTTAATTTTTTAAAGAAATTTTCATGAACATATAGTAACAAGTTAAAGAAATTTTCATGAATGTTTAGTAAGTTATTTTCTTATAGACAAATATTCCACAAGAAGTAACTTATGATTATTTTAGAATTTGATTCAGTAGAATGGTAAGGTTTGAGTACTGCAAAATAGGTTCATGTATCCTATGATACTTTTGTGCAGGCATTTATAAAAGTAACTTGCTACACAAAGAAACTATACATTCAAATGTGTTGTTTCTTTATCTAATTAAGCACAATTCATTTTATGGAAATAGACTTACTGATAGAGAAAACAGTTTACACTTAAGAAACAGAGTTAGTGATCAAAAGAAATATTTTGGGTGGTCAAGAGTGACAAAACAAATAATCTCCCACTCAATGGAATAAACTATTTTAAATCTCACATAAAACACAGAAATTATATACACCTGGAAAAAAGTTAAGCACCCCAAATATTTTTCAGGATTGCTTATTGAAAATAAGGTTTAA